GGTTCAGGGTTTAGGGTTTGCAGTAGTTGGGATTTGGTGTGGATTCAGCAGGTCTTTGAGCATTCTTGCCCAAACCCAAACTGCGCAGTCGATATGCAAAGTCATAGGCGAAGTTGAAGGAGTTGAAAGGCTTGACTCGAAACTCCTAGAAGGGGTGAGTTTCAGACCGCACGAGATTGAAGGATTGCCTAGACCTAGACCCCCCTCCCTCCAAAATAAGTCGCATGGTACTGACGACACATGGATCACGAGCCATGATTCTGGGAATTGATGGACTGGAATCGACGCATAGAGCTGAGGCAGCTCCACCCCTACTCCACCTGCTGCTTACAAAGAGGGTGTAGGGTTTAAGGGACCCCCAAACTCCAACAGTGCCTAAAACTTATAAGCACTGAACCCTGTGCCTGCAAGTTGTTCAGGTTGGTCCCAGAGCCGTCGGAGGTGTCCACTGGGGCATACGCCCCGAGGAAGAGGGAGCACATGGCTGAAGAGACCTCCAGAGGCTCAAACTAAACCCTAAACAAAATGTAGGGGCCTTAATGATTAGAAGATGGTTTTGGGTTTTGGGGGATACTAGACTATAATTATAATCAGGAACCCCCAAAATAGTATAAGTAATTACTTAGGCCCCTATATTACCCATATGGCATCAGGGTCTAGGGTCTTGGGGGTTATCTAGGCGTGGACTCCGGTCCATGTCAAAAGGGAATTTGAAGAGGGCTCGAACATAGGATCCCATTGGATACCTGCTGAAACAGAAGGCTGAAGAGCACGTGTCTGGTTATTCGGCAGCTCCTCTTAGAAGCACAGTTACTAGAGGTCAACACGTAAGGCATCGACACGGCTATGGTGCTTCTTGCACCGCCAAAACACCCGGGTGCAGCACCTAAGCTCCTAGCTGTATATATATATATATATACAATATATATATATATATATAGATATAAACAATTGAATAACCATATATATATATATAGATATATATATATATAGGAATCATACATACATATATATATATATATAGACATATATATATATATATATAGAGAGAGAGAGAGAGACCCCCTGCAGCGCTTTAGCCGCAGAAAAGCAGGTCTGCTGGCCTTACTACCGCAAAATTTCGGTGACGAGGCCCAAACCCTCATTATAGCCTTTTCCCTGCAACCTTGAAGCCGAATCAGGCTTCTCTTGTCCGAGAGGCGAGGGATATGTGCTCGCACTTCTCGTACATGACTGGCCTGCATCATTCAGAGACCACCAAACACACCTAGAACAAACATAAGAATCAAAGGTACTTAATTAGCTTCAGATTCAGCTCTTGGCACCAGAGACCTTCAACACTGAAACCATGCACCACTCGACCCCTACCCACGCCCTGCAGCCAAGCATGACAACCACAGTGGAAAAGCTTGAAGCCTCCAAACCACAAAGTTTCCGGGTGTGAACTTTGTCATCTCTAAACAGTGAACTTACATAAGAAGCCAAAGCAGCACATGGTGGCCCCCTTACAACCTTGGCGAACAGCAACATATTCACACATCTATTTACGTACCTCAACCTACAAGCGCTCAGCTATAAACCCTAATCCCTGAACCCTAACCCCTAAACCCTAATCCTAGGGTTAAGATGTGTAGGGAGACGACAGCATGACACCTAAGACCTGCGCACATCTGCTTCAGTGCGGCTGAGAAACTCCTCCTCGATCAGCTTCCTGACTCCAGGGCTCTAAAGTTGTAAGGGCTCCTTCTAAAGGATTACTACAGGGGTTTCGTAGTGCCTGATTACCGGTCGTAGGTATAGAGTACTTGTTATAAGTGTATTTATACACAGTCGCACTATACCTGATTGGCTAAATGGGCGTTGCCTTGTAAGGTATACATTTTATGGCCTTTGATCTACGCCTCGAGGGCCGATCTTGCCCCAAGACAGCCTTCACAATCAGACTAGAACTATCAGGGACTGCTGTCATGAATTGTTCCGATCCCTATAGTAGGTCAGTAGGTCCTCGACACCGTAGGTCTAGGGCTTTCGGTTTTAGGAGGATGATTGGATTTAACACAGGGGCCTACATCATTAGCTGTACTATTTTGGGGGTTCCGTAAAATAATTCTTATAGTATAATGGACCCCAAAACCCTATTCTAACTATGAAGGCCCCTATATTATAGAACCCCTCATACAACCCAAGAAGGATCCCTTTAAAGGAACCCTATTCTAATTATGAAGGCCCCTAGAGTAGGGTTGTGCATCCAGAAACAACCTGCCAAATCCGACCGGCCCAGCGGCGCGATCTGCATCCCCGTGAATCGCTCGTAGGCCCGAGAGCCTGTGGCCTCTCGCACAATCCGTAATGTAGGGGCCTTAACAATTAGAATAGGGTTTTGGGGTATATGATACCATAATTATATATAAGAAGGAACCCCAAAATAGTATAGGTCATTATTTCGACCCTTAGATTACTAGGTTCAGCGCTCAGGCTCCTTTTGGGTGGTTCAGGCTGGGAGGGTTCCTCTTGAAGCGGAAGATTCCCGCAAGGGGGGTAGATTATACTATAAATGTAACAAGAAACCGTCAAAATAGTATAGGAAAACATTTAGGCCCCTATATTACGTATCAGAGATCAGGGCTTCTAAGCCGGAATCCTGTTCGCTGTGCCAGGCTGTATTTGAGCCCCTTTTCCCCAAACTCCCCTGTTGAGTGTTAGACTTGTTAAAACCCTGAGACATGCTAAACACGCTGTTTGCATGCCTTCGGTTTATCTCATACCAAGCATAGAAAATGACTCCGAAGGAAGACCCTATTGAAGTCGAATCGTTTCGTCCGCTTGCACTGAGTTCCTCAACAAGAACACAGTACTCAGGACTACTCCCTGGCTTTCAATATGGGTGAGGTCCGCTGTCTGCAATGTCATGCTGAAAGTCTCTGGCGCACTGTGTTGGACTGCGCCAAACGTCCGCTGCTGAAAAACAAATCCAAGGTTCTAAGATAGGATTTCTCTGGTTTCCACCACTACACGCCCGTCCATGACAGCACTGGTATATCAACATCGGCAACTACACCCGGGCGCCAGCCCCGAAGCCGCAAAGCTTGAAATCCTCAGACCCGACATCCAAAGCTTTGAATCCCGAAGCCGGCAGGCCGGAACCCGAAGCCTAATATAGGGGCTTTCATAAATAGAATATGGTTTTGTAAGGGTTCCTTAAAGCGTTCTATAAGGGCTACTATAAGGGTTTAGGGTTTAGGGGCCTTTATAAATAGAATAGGGTTTTAGGTCCCAGTATACTGTAATAATAAGGAGCCCCCAAAATAGTATAGGTAATTATTGAGGCCCCTAAACTACCCGATGTAGGATTGTCATTGCTCGCATCCTCATAACAAGTAGAACGCAATTTACAGGCCCAATTCATACTGTTGATGATATACATCCTGCATTACCTTATATTAAGGACCCTAAACACTGGGAAACATGGTATATTCATTATTATGGGTAATGCAGGAATTATATCATCATCCGTATCAACCTGCACCTCTGCAATCCCCAAAACCGACAATGGCCGTCCCCGATCGTTGTCTTTGAACCCGAAACCCTGTGGGCCCAACAGCCTTGAACCCTACAAGCCCTTGAAACACATGAGGGCCCTAAACTCCTGCCAGAATGGTATAAAACCCGGCAAGACGTAACTAGTCTAATTATTCGTGTATCCATCCAGGTTCAGGGTTAAATGTTTAAATCATGGATCATACTGACCGCTAAACCCCAAACCCAGCAACGGCTAAGGCGAAGAGCCTTTGCGAGAGTCTGGCGGCCAACGGCCGCTTCGATTCGAGCGCACTGTGCACCTCCACAAATATTTACGTAGAGCGCTGAGGGTTTACGAATGGAGTTGATAATATTTCAAGAGTAACTAAGGACAGAAGCTCTTTACGTAGCGTGCTTGTAAGGCTTAGGAATGGAGTTTAGGTTTCAGGAGTATAAGTATAAGGACAATAATTTATTTGAGGGCGGGGTTCGGTTACAGGAAGACAACAACTAGAACATAGGGCTTCCGGCTTCTAGCGGGTGTTCAAGTTTTAGGGCGAATAGGGTGTACGGATGGAATCGGCTTTGATTCGTCGAGGGCTTACCCATAGGCCCTAAAGTAGTTCCTTTTTGTGGCTCATATATAGAATCCTATAAGGTAACCCCAAAAAGGAACTACTATGGGACCTATGGGTAGGGCGATCATTGAGGGATGTGGGACGAGTTTCGAGCTTAGACCTTCGCCTCCTGGCGTCAATCTGAGGTCGGCTGGTTGACGGGTTGGTTCATGGTTCATGGTTTAGGGTTTAGGGGTTTAGGGTTTAGGGTCATGGTTTGGGGTTTGTATTGGAAGTTCAGGGTTTGGGGTTTGGGTTTTCGGACTGTCGAGATTGAACTACTGTATGTACCATATTTACAGTGCATTTTTTGTGTTGATGATTGACACGGATTCCAAACCCTAATACATCAAAATAGGGTTTTGGAGCCCATTATACNNCCCCCCCCAAATAGTATTGGTAAATAAATCGGCCCCTATATTACATCCTAAACCCGAAGCCTCAAGCCCCTAAATCCTGATGAAGACTTCCCTATCGCACAATCAAAGCGTGCAAGGGCCTTCCTGTCTTCCAAACCAGGAAAAATATGCGGCCCGCGAAGGGTTTCTGTTAGAGTTCCTGGAAGGCTCCTACACAAGTTCCAAGACGAGTTGCTGCATCAGCATTCCCAGAACCTTATAGCCTTATATTCTGACCCCTCAACCCTAAAACGCAAATCCTCAGCTTGAAAACTTCAATGCTCACTCAGCCTTGAGCCTAACCATCCAATCAAACATCGCTAAACTCAACCCTGAACGTCAACCTTGGACTCTCGTCCGAAATATTGTCGGATCCGATTAGCAACCCTATACGGGATCCTCAATAAGCCCTACACTGAACCCAAGAAAGTTGGAACATGGA